GATATTTCACTGTATTGAGATAAAACAGACGCCCTGTATTACATTACATAGAGTCGGTCTACCGTTTGACTGCCAGTTGGAGAATTGGCCTGCCGTTTGACTGACACTTGTAGAATCGACCCTACATTTAACTGACACTTGTAGAATCGGCCCTACATTTTTTTTTTTTACGTGGCCGACATTAAATTAATTACTCAATTGTTACCGTTACAGTAGGAAGACCCCTTAAACTATTTGACGTACTGCGTTTTCTGTAGTCCCTTTTATTATCAGTGGCGGTGTTTTTAACACGATCACTGACACCAGGATACATTCTGGACCGCATATGCTTCGTCGATGGCAGCTGGTTATCAGATTTTGGCACAGTACCTACAACCTGAAACCACCAATTTGAGCGACTGTAGTGTAACAGCGACACCTCTAATCACACGTATTGTCATCATGGCTGAATCGATCGTACTTATTCCGTATGTACATATGCTTAAGTGGAATTTCTTTTTAGTAATTAAATGTAAACCGAATTATACTGTATTTGGCCTCATTTTAATCAGAAAAATATCGTGGATATGTCAGTTAAAATTTTATCAACAAAACACAAAAAGTAAAAAAGTTTCTCTTTTGTATTAGTGTTGTCTCACCCATATGTAGGTGTTTGATATTTTACGACTGTCTCAACTTTCAATACCTCTCTCTTCTTTGTCCGCTGTCTCTTTCTGCGTCCGTCGGTGTCGGTAAAATACAAACAGTTTGAAGAAACTAGTACCTATCCCGTAACTGTTCCACAGCGGACCCGAATTTCGAACTCCTATCGAGTCTTTACTGTACTATGCATTATGACCACAGAGAACCTGAAAGTAAGATTTCTTTGAGGGGATTAAGTGGAGTGAGCGAAAGATTCCTCTTTCCCCTGTGCTGTTTCAGCTTGTAGACAACGTGTCAACATCTCTTTTCTGTACAGTACCTTGACAAACGACACTTATATCGCGCGACCATAGTCACGTAGAAAATACATTTATTTTGCGAGAGTTGGAAACTTTCAGGTAATTTTTCGCTCATCCTAGTTTCGGCGCAGGGTGTTTTCTAATTTTTCATCGTTACGATTTTTCACTAACAGATGATGGTAATCTTGTCAAATAAATACAAAGTATAACTGTTGAGCGCAACGATTTATACACGGACGTGGGAAAGAGGCTGTTTTTGAGATTAGGATTTTAGGTTATTGTTAGCAAGAGTGTCGAGTAAAAAATATCTTGGCGAGAGAAAGTTCGACTTACAACTCCAGACTTAGAAACTCATTTCTCTCGTTCTCGATAGCCAAGTGCCTTGCCATAACAAAGGGCCTTCCAAAGGGTCGACGTAGACAGTCGCGACGGTCAAGAGACCGGCGGAGTCGAACCTGGCGGAAGTTCCCCGCTGTTCCCAGACATCACCAATCTCAGGTCAGGACATCGCCACCCCCTCTCCAAGGTAACGCGCGTTGAGAGCGCAAGAGAAGGGTGTTGCGATGTCACTTGTTTAGATTCAAACTTCTCCCGACAGCTTGTTGACGTGGGAAAGGGTTTCAAACAAAATTCACGTCGATTCACCTTGGTTAGGTCGTTTTATTATTGACTGCTACGCCGGACTGGTTACACTAATTTCAATAATTAGAGTTCGATACTGGTCTCTTGGTAAGACTACTATTTGCTGCTGTCTCTTGTTGAGACTTCTAATTTGAACCTTGCCTTGTGGCCTTCTATCTTGAACTATCGCAAGCCTTCATGGTCCGTCTCCACGAAGGCTGCGTTCCTCGCCGAATCACCCTGATTGGTGATTTCCAAAACGATTTTCCACCAATCAGTTTTTCTCCGATGCATTGACACCCCCTTCCCGTTACGCCCTAAACGCACTATTTTAGGGAAGGAATGCACAACGACTGAAAAGGTGTTCAGCGACGGAATGTTTGGGAATCCTGTGGAGTCTCCGCGAAGTCGAGACTTTCTCGCGCGAAGTGGGCCCAGCCACGAAATATCGAGGCCCACTTCTCCCTTGAACTCTTGGAGACTCCAGGATTTATGGCCTCTCTAGTGACCGAGTGTCGCACGCAACGCGAAAAGGGACACCTTTGTCCATTGAAAACAAAATACTTGCCTGCGACGTAACCACTTTTGAAGCCATAAATCCGGCTACAGGATTCCCTTAGGTTTATTCTATTTTACGACTAAACATCACTGAAGCATGCTGATTGGATTTTGGGAATTCTCCCAAATTACCCAATCACCATGCAGTTAGAGGAAGAAAGGGGCACCGTGGAAGGAGCGCTGCTTCCTTCGAAAGGATTCAGGGGTAGAACACCACAGAACTCAGAGCAAGAAAGTAACACCAGAATCCAACGATAAGCGAACATAGAGAACATAGGGATAAATGAAGTACAATTAAGCACAAGGTGTGTCAATTAGTTCCCAACCTATAAGTTGGGTGGTCCTTCGACGGCAAATTTGGACGGCACTAAGAAGGGTGCAATATACCTGGACGGAACTTTAAAGCTTAAAGTATACGTCCTCAACAATAACCACTTCTCACTATCAAATATTTAAATTCTTTTTTTTCAAATTAAATTCATTTTTTTTAAATTAAGCGAAAGTGGTGTAAGTCAAGAAAGGCGATTTCTAGATATTGAGGGTTAAAGTAAAAGTTCTGTAAAATTCAGGAATATGAACGAATGTTAAATCTCTTTTACGTAAGCCATTGTATAGTTATACCTTAAGTTAATAGTGCCATTTTGCCCCGAAAATCAAGATATATTTATAATCATTTTATTCAATATTTTTCAGTAATTATTAGTAGTTCAGTAATTATCAGTAATTCATCAGTAATTATTATTAGATGTAATAAAAAAGGGATCTGTTTGTTGAAGTAGGCATTATGTTTCTGCTGCTTTATTAATTACCAAATTATTAAAAAAAAATGAATAAAATGTATAAAATGTGGTTTACATTGTCACGAATTTAAATCGATAAATAATAACGAGCATGACCCAGAAACTTTGTGGATAGCGATAACGTTAAGCTCTTATTCATCGCTCACTTCTTCTTCGAAATCCAGAAGTCCAGTGTCATTTATCTCGCACCAAAGTCTGACTTACACCATTCTTGTATATAGCGTCCATGCTATTCGAGTGGGTGGTTCTTACTTATTTTGCCATCCACCGAGAAACTAATGAAGAATATCCTTACACCACTTCTGCACAAAACAGAAGGAAGGTTAAATTTTCGAGATGTGGTGTTAACTCGAAAAGGCGAAAAATTGACTTGCACCACTTTTGCTTTAAATGACTCGTATATGTTTTATTCAGCCTTACAGCTAAGAATTACAACACCTATTTTTACAGACTATCTTATCCTCTCTCTCACTCTCTACTCTTCCCTACTCTATATTGCATCCTTTCCTATTCTCTAAAATTTTCTTAATTTTAATTCACTTCTCTCTGGTGCTCTTAGTTACGCTCTCTTTCCTTTCTTCTCTTCTTTCTCAACTTCTCAAATCATGTTTCGACCTTTTCATCTCGTCTCCCACTCGCAACATTCCTCCTCAATTCTGATTTCTCGTTCTATTTCCCCGCAGTCCCTTGTTAGATCGCTTCTAACCAATATTTATTCCAATTTTCTAAGTTTCCACACCTTGTTTTGGGCTACGAGCTTTTTTGACTGTCCCCTATTCCATTTTTAAATTAAATATTTACATTCATTTCAGTATTTTCAATTTGAATTTGAACTTTAATATTTCATTTAATTCTAATCAAATATCTAACGTATAAATTCTAATACTTAAACGTTTAACTATCGTGAAATTACCGGATTGAAGCCCAAACGAAACAGATACGCAAATGATTTATTCGTATGTTCACAGAATCGACGCACGTACTCCAAGTGCAACGTGCTCAGCGGAGACTATCCGGCCGGGTACGAGTTAAACTGCGTCCCGGGTCAAATGAGACCAAGACAAAACAGCGTGTTCATCGGTTCGAGCGCGTCCTTGCTCCCCGGCGGCCGTGGTACACCGCGTCGGACAAAAAGCGCGTTCGATCTTCAATTTCTGATACTATCGGAGAACAACAGCCAGGACTCTTCCTGCGAACAGGACACGTTGAAGAACTTCAAAGTGGCCAGCGAGTCTATGAAACTGTTGCAACGCGAACGAAGAACGAGTATTTGCCAAGTGGACAGAACCGAGACGATCAAGTCTCCGTTTCGCGACAGAGGAATGAGTATCTGTCACTTCGACAATTCCTCGAAATCCTGTCAACCGGATCGTGGAACGAGCTTCTACCAGTTCGACAAGATGGACGTTCTCGCCAGGCCGTTGCAGAGAGACCGCGGCGGAAGTATCTGTCATTTCGACAGAACGGACGTGTTGGCCAGATCGTTGCACAAAGATCGCATAGGCAGCACCTATCATTTCGACAGAATGGACGTTCTGGCTAGGCCTAATCTGTCCCTAGGAAAGCCTCTGTTAAGGGAGAGACGCGTCAGCATGTGTAACTTTCTGGAGAAAGACGGAGAATTTGGGAGATACCCTAAAAGAGAGCGGCACTTAAGTGTCAGCAACATCGATAGAATTGAGAAGGATAACGCCTCGATCGAGAAGGCGGACAGTGACGCCGGAGGGCAAAAGATATTTGCTGAATGTACGGTTAAAGAGAACAAGAATACCTGTTATCAATACGATCAACCTTCTTGTAGCAAAATTTCCGACGTTGTGCTCGGGTACAAAGCTACTTGTGTATAGAGATTGTGAGATTTGTCGGAGAGAATTAACGATAATTTTGTCGAAACTTTGGCTCCGTTTCTCAGATATCAATGATTCCATTCTTATTTACACGTGAAAATATAATCACTTATATTTATTTGGTTTGCATTTTGTTTTTTTAATTAACCCCTTAACCTATGACAACGCGTCAGACTCGTGGCAGAGATTCTGGTGAAGATGTGAGAAAACTAGTTATATTAGTGAGAAAAATTCATTGTAATCCTAACTTTCGTTTGAATTTGTAAGACTAAGGATTGCTAAATGTAATTAACCGGTGACAGATTAGTTTTTGTTACCTGATACAGTACTAAAACAGTAAATGGCTGACGCTTAGATGCATAGTCGGAAAAGAAATCATAGGTTAAGGGGTTAATGGTATTTCTTTCATCCATTCGAAGCCAATCGCACACCTGGTGTGTAATACTGTTCGTAGACGAAAAGGCCAGTGACACACTGTGTGTGTAATGATCATGGATTCGTATTATGTTATTACTGAAGTACTAATCGTGGAAATAAGATCGTTTTTAAGGATAATAAAAGTTGAAGCTTTGTAGATATTGAAACTTTCGTTGGTTTCAAGCTAGGACCACAAAGTGAGTGTGGACATACGTGGTGCGTCGTGGCCTGATTTGTACGAAAAATGTTAATTTTTCTTTTCTCAATTTCCAATATAAAGAAAGAAAAAATTTTGGCTCTTAGGGACCGACTTTCGAAAAGTCTCGAGTGGATTAAATATATAGTCGGTAAAAATGAATATTTTGGTCGGTATAAATAATTCATTGTCAGTATTAAATTGCATTTGTCGGTACAATTTTGTTTACTCGGTCGGTATCAGTTTGTTTTTTGGTCGGTAAATTAGCTATCTATTTAAAATACTGACAAATTATTACGTTTACTGATATTTTAATGAAAATACCGACAGTTTTTGTATGAATCGACGTAATACTGGCCACTTATATTACGTACCGATGTTCTTTTTTTTAAATATTGACCATTTATTTAAAATACCGATTAAAAATTTTTTATAAATAGCAGTCAAATATAATTTCACTGTCTATGCATATTACGGACTCGTTGACTTCGATACACGAACAAATCAAGTTCGTTTCTGGTACTTTTTATAAATAAAACATGGAACGAAGCTAGGAGAATAAAAATTAAGCGTTGATTCAAAAGTTACTCGTACAGTACAACAGAATAGTATTTCATTAAAATAGTAAAATTCAAACAAACTATATTCAGTTTGGAATTTATCAAGAAGAATCATTTATTGTTAAATTATTGCACTGAATTACTAAATGATAAGATTATGTGAACAATTATGTTCTTCCCGGAGTTTTACATTGAAAAAAATTTACAGAAATAAGAATGTATTGAAAAATACATAATAAGCTACAATAAAAACAGAAAGATCTTAAGAATTGACTTAAGAGAATTGCTCGAGCAGGAAACATTTTAAAAAGAAAGAGCATTCAAGTTTTTATGACATTTTTTATCCGTGCTTTAATGATAAATCGTTGTAAATTGTGTTTCATTTCGCACCAGATTTCTTAAGGTGCATTATGGATAGTTTTATTCTTTCAAAATGTACGATATACAATATACTGTTTCTATTTGTCAGAAAAAAGTCGCAAATGTGTGGTTGACGAGACTATTTTCTTCTGAAATGGAAGAAATTTCAGTGATTTATTCATATTTCATTGAAACAATTCATTGTTCTTACATAATTATTGGTTGTTAATTGCGTGACTTGTTTTTAGATTTATTAATAAGTCTTAAATATATATCAGGGGGAACATTGCAGGGAATGGTGCTTTCCTAGTAAACAATATAAAACATAATTGAATAATTTTTATCTATCCTTAGGTTTTCACGTTTCTCCTTCTCGAAAACATAAACGTCTATTTGCAATTGTCGTTCTTTAAGGCCTTAAGAAGAGGCTTTTTAAGAAGAGACTCCTTTGTGGCAAGAATATTGTTACAATTGCCAGGATATTTGTTGAATTAAAAGTTACTCCAATCGTAAAGTTGAGCGCGTTAACGTCAATTTAACGACTAATTATCACGAATTCTATATTGTAAACTATACATGATAAACTTCATTATTTTAACAATATTCCGTAGAATTATGTAGAAATTCTAAAAAGTTGAATCTTCGTTCGTCACCTTTTTAAACGGTGAACGTTTGTAACGATCGATATAAAAATATCTCGAACAGATTGTTGATGAATAGAGCACAAAGATACTCTTCACAAGCAGATATTTAGGTAACGATTATATCGACGAAAAAATAAGCCCATTTACAAAATAACAATTTCTATCGTGCTACGTAACGTAAGCGAAGGGAAAAAAGTTTTATTAAGCTGGTTTGCGCGAAACAAAAAATTAGATGAAAAATCAAAATGGTATTTTCCTATAGACACGTATATATTTTTGGTTGAATCAGACGCTTCTCAATCTACAAATCGGTTTTCAACTTTCTGAATGTTGCAAAAGTTTTACATTCGAATAGGTACCCTTATTATATTGCAATTTAGAACATATGTATACCTACTTGTGTGTTTTATGCATTTTGCGGTAAAAAAAAGAAAACTAAAAAGGATTTATTTTGCTTTAGTTTGCTTATTCTATAAAAATTCTAGTGTTTGAAAGGAAGACAATAGTGGTTTATAATTTTGACTTATATTTTTGCTAATTGTACAATTTCTAGCTAAGAAAAATTGGCCAATAAAATGGGATAATATAAATTATGCGACAGCTTATTAATCGCACTTGTAATTTAACAACGAAGGAAACGATTTTATCAATGCTAATCAGATGAAACTAAAGTGAATTTGTAATGGATATTGATTTCTTAAAGTTCAATATATTTAACGTAAAATTCAATTCTTTTCAAGAAATGTCCGCATTCAGCTAGAAGATCTTAATTATTTGAAACACTTGCTTCATAATTAACTTTATTTAATTCAATCGTCTAAATCAGTTTTACATTTAAAAATTTTTTTAGTGGGATGTTCGAAGGTGAAATTGTAGAGTTTGTTTGTTATATTAACCTCTTAACTTACAACAACGCGTCAGACTCGTGGTAGAGATTCTGTTCAAAATATGACAAAAATAGTTATATTAGTAAGAAAAATTCATTATAATCTTAACTTTCGTTTTAATTTCTAAGATTGAGGATTGCTAAATGTAATTAATCTGTAATAAATTAGCTTTTGTTACCTGATACAGTACTAAAAGAGTAAATGGCTGACATTCATAGTTAGAAAAGAAATCATATGTTAAGGGGTTAATTAAGATGACAAGAACCAAAATGTCGCGCTGTATCGCAAAAGAGTTTTCGTCACGCCATTCTTTCAGTTCTTCTCGCTCAACACATACACGTGTTCCGTTCTTTCGCATCATTCACAAAAGGTACAGTAGATGGAAGAGATATAGCGAGGTCGTAAATCTTCACATTAGGTGAAAACGTCGATTGATCTATCTCCCCCAAATCTCAAGCTGATGTTTCTCAAGTAGCGGCTGTGACTGGATCAGTATAAACCGACATCTACCTTTTTTCCGTTCCTATCACTTTTTTCTTTAAACATACCGTAACGGAAGAACCGGTGCTGAGTTGGCTTCGTATAGCCCTGAACGAGGCTCGAGCTCCTTATCTCACCTAACTGATGTTTTAGCGATCAGATTTCATGTTCTTCCACGCTTGTTTGATTTTACGACATCACTATAGCTGTTCCACGAAGTATACACAAGATGTACATACTCTACAATATTATGTATAGCTGGTCGAAGCGATGTACTGAGGTCGTACATTGAAACTTTAAGCGGCGACACTTATTGAGATATGGTCGGGGCCATGATATAGCGAGGTCGTACATTAGCACGTTGACTGTCACGCCAGATTTATATGTTTTAAAGAAATTTTCATTATTCTAAGCATAGTATTATATTATGCTTATTATGCTTTATTGTTATTATTATTTTTTGTTTAATTCAAAATAATGTCTAGTTAGCTACGATGTTCGAAATTTTTAGTTGAACTGTACCATCTCACTGGATTTCCTTCCAGCTCCGCACACTACCGTATACTGCAATAAAAGAACCAATTCCAAATTGTTATCGAACGGCTCTAAACGAGATTCGAGTCCCTTATCTCCCCCAATTTGCTATTTCCGCGCTCGATTTACGTACTTTGACGACTGGCCGTTTTTACTGCCTCACTATATCGTTTCCACCAACTATACACATATACAAGTATATATGTATATTTTGTTTAAAAGATAAATATCGATGAACAACGTATTTTGTCATGAATTAAAATTTTCAAAATTTCAGTATCAGTTAAACGACATGTCGTAGCATCTGCATTTAACATACCCCAAAGTAAACCGTAAATCAAATTCGATCACATACACAGGGTGTTTAGCAGTTATTGGTAGAAAATTAAAGGAGAGATTCTGCAAACTAGAATAAAACAAAAATCAAAAATAAAAAAATTTCTTTTGAGGCTTCGTTTTTTATTCATTAACGATTAAAGATATCCCCGTGGTCGAGCAACCCTCCTGACACCAGTGAGTGTACGGCAGGTGAAGACACGGGGTGCTCAGTGATTCACGAAACAAGCGACACATGATCGACAGCGTAGAAGTCGTAGAGAAGAAGACACTTGCCTAAAAGCGTGCTTCCAGTTGTTGAGACTGTCCCTTATCAATTTCGAACTGGACATATGTACGAACAAAGACACTGGCAAAGGAAGTCGGATGTCGTAAATTTTTCTTTGTAAATAAATATTCAACCATCACCACGTCGTCTTTCAGCCAATTGGAGCCCATTTTTCTCTTGACACGGCGAATCGCGCATTTCCTGTAAAAGACTAGATTTTTGTGAAAGAGTAGAACAGCTTTGAAAGAACAATAGAAGCGAAACTTTTGAAAAACTATTCGAACTGACAAGCGAACATAGCACTTATGTTCATTCCTT